TTTCTCTCTCTTTCCCCTCTTTTTTGCTCTACCTTTCCGGACCTGTTTTCCTTTCCTGGGGACAAGTCCCACTAGCACCGTTGATTTTTTTCAACGCCTGAATCTGGACGTGTTTTTGGCTATGTGCGGTTGAGGAAACTCAACGCTATTTCTGCACATCCCCACAAACACTTCGAGATTCAGGCGTTGAGGAAACTCAATGCTGCTAGTGGGACTCAGCCCCAGATGTTGGGTTGAGGGAGGAGAGGGGAGGTGGAAGGGTATTTGCAAAACTGATCAGGCATCACCGTTTTTAAACTGAACTGGGCTATTTCTGCACCGGAGGTATGGGAGAGGGAGGGAAGGAAGTATCACTGAAGTGGGCTTTCCTATGCCAGAGCTCTCCAGAGCATGTCAGAGACCTCTGACAAAGAAAAAACATGCCTGCTGATATTCTGAGGCATGTCTTGTAAAAAAAAAAAAAAAAAAAAAAAAAGTGTGAAAGATATTCTGCGGAATCCTAGTAGCAGTAAATGCAAACTCCTTTTTTTTTTTCACTTACTTACCTGGGGTCGTATCAGTCATTTCGAAGGCGGACGGCCTACGGTAGCTTGCAGGGTCTCCCATTGCACTTTGGGACTCGCCTGGCGTAAGTCATACCCATACCGGTACGGTATTATTTGTGGTAAATGCAAACTCGTAGATGCAGAGAATAGCAAGCCTGAAAAAAATATTTTGTTATTAAAAAAAAAAAAAAAAGAATAAAAAGAAAAGTCTGAATCTGAAAAACAAAGTTTTTTTTTTTAATAAGGATCAGACATTAAACTGATCACAACAGAAACTCTATTTGGTGATTGGTTGGGAGCAATCTGTATTGCTTTGTGACACGATGTTGTCAAATGATGGACTGCTGACTGGTGGGTTCGTTTGCATGAGAGCTGACGTTTTTTTTCTTTTTTCTTTTTTTTTTTTTTCCGCATATTTTTTCTAAATATCAGGAATCGCCAGCGCTAATGCGCCGCCAGGGGAGGCACTAGCAGCGGCGCATCGCTAAGCGGCCTAGCGCTGAGTGCCCGAAGTTGCTGGCGCTAGAGCTAGGGTTTTGCCTGGGCTAACACCACCATACCTAGTCGGCTTTAGTGGCCAGTGGCGACCATGTCTATGCGTTGTGGATGTGGAGCTTGTCCGGCATGCCCCAAGGAGAAGGAGTGCCTTCTGGCGGTGGGTGGGGTGCGTTGCGTGCGATAAATGGATGACTTGGAGCGGTGGTGCATCTCTCCTGTTATACGCTATATGCAACCAAGATCAGGGCGCGATTGGCGCTGCTGGTCTCAGATATGGAGCTTTATTTCTCTTTTTTTTTTTTTCTTTTTTTTTTTTTTTTGGACTGAACAACCCAGCCGGATGCTAGGTGTGCTGATATGAGCAGACACACCTAGCACCGTCGGGGAGGCTCCATCTATTGGTGGCGAGCAGCACCTGCTGGAAATCGGGTCCAGCGTCCCGTAAACACATCGTTGTAATGCAGTGTTTGTTGGGCACAGGCCATACGAGTTCATGTCCCAGATTTCTCAACAACACATTGATACTGCCAAGTTTTTTTTTTCCGTAGAGACGGCCGTGAGCTTACTTGATTAGCACGGATTTGTTTTCCTACACGCCGATGGAGCTTGGCCGGGGGGAATTATGGTTTCCCGTACGTCTTGTTCCTTTTTTGCCAAGGAAAACTATGTGCTGACTTGCTGAAGACGAGTGGTCTTTATATCTTGTTTCATCTTATGAATTTTCATTAGGGTTAGGGTGGGTAGGAGCCACCCACCCTAACCCCGGCCAGGCAAAGGGATGGAATGTTTGTCTCGTACTCATGTGCTTCTTCAAAACTCTACTTACTTAGCTCACAGGGACGCTGATTCAACAACCTGCTCACTTAGTCCTCTGGAAACCAGAGTAGTGGATGCTGGCCGGCTTTTTCCAGTACCTCTCCAGACTGTTTTCTCTTCTGATTTGTCCGATTTACTTCTGAGTTATCCTGTATCAATGGGATGCTGGACCCGCTTTCCAGCCGGTGACGCTCCCCACCAATAGATGGAGCCTCTCTACAGGTGCTACCCGTGTCTGCTTTTACCCGCACCACTAGCAACGGAGGGAGTTTTTTCCCATAAAAAAAAGAAGAAAAAAAGAAAAGGGTTAGGGTGGGTAACTGGGCCCTGGAAAAACCTTCATCAGTTTGTTTTATGATTTTTTTATCCATTGATTGTTGCTGAACTTGCTGGCTTTTCGTTCCCATTTTCTTAGTAGCGGTGGCAATTGGACCCCGCATAGTTACCCCCCCTTCCAATCGCCACCGCTACTAACTACGCGGCGATTCGACCCCGCGTAGTTACCCCTTCCAATTGCCACCGCTACTAACTACGCGGCGATTGGACCCCGCGTAGTTACCCCCCCTTCCAATCGCCACCGCTACTGACTACGCGGCGATTGGACCCCACGTAGTTACCCCTTCCAAAACTGTTTTGGAAGGGGTAACAGTTTTGGAAGGGGTAACTACGCGGGAGTCACAAAAACAGTTTGAAATGACACTTCGGGCCAAAACGAGTTTCAAATAGCCAGCTTTTCGGGCAATTTACCTGACCGGAAAGCTGGCTATTTGAAACTCGTTTTGGCCCGAAGTGTAATTTCGAACTGGTTTTATTACGACTCCCGCGAAGTTAGCCTTTTTTGGAAATTAATGAGACCTAGGATTACCACTTTAGGCAAAAGAATAAATTGGTTTACGTGTCTTTTGACTCTTTTGTGCGATTGAGCCCTTTAGAGTTAGGATGGATAACTGGGCCCTGGGAATCAGTAGAAAACCCTGATCATTGATTGGGTAGTTTGTTGTACTGCTTTTTGGTGTTTTTTAAGTACAAGTATTGATGATTTGGTAGAGTTTCTTTTGGAAGCCAGTGGTTTTTCTACAGGGGAGGGGTTCCACCTGAGGAAGCGGGATTGGAGACCTTGCGACACCTTAATTTGCAGCTTGGTGATATTGTGTTTCTGCCTTGGGCACTGGGCCCTAATAAAACGACTGTTTTTTTTTCAAAAAAAAAAACAAAAAAAAAAAAGCTACGCTGAACCCGAAGTCCAAACCTCTCAAACTATTCACAGCCCAAACCCTAATCTACAAATACTGACCTTCTTCCCCCGAATACAACGTGCGGTCATTCTAGCTGTATTCAGACTGAAAGATACCCTATATACAGCTATAAGCCTCCATCAATCCCTGATCCAAGGCCTTCATCAAAGATTCAGCGTGAAGACGAAAGGGGCGTCCTCTTTATACAACCCTTCTTTCCCACCACAACACACTATCTATCACACCACCTTCAAGATGCAGCTTCAATGGGAGCCCCTGCGGACACCACCCCTTCCAAATCGAAACTCCATCTCAGGCAAGGTGTCAATCTTGAGCATGCAGATGAAGATCAAGGCCCTAATACAAACAATCTCTTAATCGTGCAGCGACCCCGGCCTCCCCCGAACATAACGCATATGTGTGTTGTATTCGGAGTTTCCAAAACAAAAAAAAGGGAAAAAAAAAAACAATTTTTTTTTAATAGAACGAATATGCGTTGTATTCGAAAATTGGGGCTGTTCAAATAGAGCGCAGACGCTTTCTTTTCGAAAAGAAATTTAACTGTTCGAATAGAACGCCTGCGCTTTGTATTTGAATAGAAAGCAACCTATGCGTTGTACCCGTTTACAACGCATATGCGTTATGTTCGGGGGAGGGGGGAGGGGGAAGAGGGGGGAGACGGGGTAGTCTAGATCGTGGTGCCAAACATTGCAAAGAGCACAGGTCACACCAGCAAGGTCCCGGGTGGGGGCTATTTCAATCTTAAACCACCAGTACCCTCCGGTTGTTAAGGCCCAACCCTCCTGCTACCGGTTGCCCGACCCTGGCCGAGCCTAGACCTACCGGTAGTTGGCAAAAAAAAACTAAAAACAACGGAAAAACAAGGAAAAATAAAATCGCTAGAATTACTTGATTATTAAAAAAAAAAAAAACGAAAGCCAATGTCGGTTCTG